AACTTTTGCAAGGGCATGCATGAGTTCGGGGTGAAGTTATCATCGTTATCAATGTCAGAATATTCATAGTTAAACAAAGTAGCTGACAGAAAGGTGAGGTCGGGATCCCATACCATCACTCGATTATCGATTCTATATGTTTATGTCACTGCCATACTCCCCCGCAGCACTTCGTGTCCACAGCGTAATGATAGCTTCTATTTCATGAACCCTTGTGTTTCGGCATTCAGCCATTAAGACAAACAATAAACTATATGCCCCAGCAAAACCTCCAGAGCACAAAGTGAGTACCTCGTCGCGAATACTCCAATGCAGTGATTACCATCTTCACCCGTCGCCTACCTTGGCCATTATTCGACGCGGGCAGGCGGCAAGTTGTGATGATCAATACAAGACATGAGGATCAGCCAAGAACTCAAAGCCGAAAGCCCTTCTTAGTCGCAGAGGACCTCCCCCGCATCGCCGGTCCATACCTCTTGATCGCGTAAAACCCAGGTACCACAAACCCAGCCGTAAAGACAGCCAGCAGACCGAAAGCCCACTCCGGGCCGAGCTTCTGGAACATGGGGACACCAAAGTGCACAGCCGCAGCCTGTACAGGAAAACAGGGTATCAGCCAGGCCGCCGTAGCGGACGCGGCTTCTTCGGGGTACAAGTCTGTTCCAGACCCTCGCATCAGCATTCGGCATCTCGTAAAAAGTACGGGATGTGGGACGTGATGCTTCGCAACTTACCCAGAATGTAAATCAAGAGACACTGGTACAGAAACGAGTCTGTAAACGCAACGACGCCGCCCGTCACGGCCTGGTGCCATTTACCCCACGCGGCGCCGCCTGTAACAGCGGACCAGGCTAAGGCGGCAGGGAACATCCAGATCACGTCATGGACGAGCAGGAGTCTTGACTCCGGGAGGGCGCGGCCGTGGTGTCGTTTTTTGTCTTCCCTGTAGAGGCGGGTCTGTATAGGCATGACGAACCATACGAGTACCACGCCGATGGCCATGAAGATGATGGAGATGGCGGCTTCCATCAGACTTTGCCGCGAGTCAGTCATTCAGTGTGTGCTGGACAAGTCTGCAGATGACGCGGAGAAAAGAAAGAAACCAAGTGGAGAGGTGTTGCTTACGGAAGACCCTTGAACTCCGTCAGGGTCGTGATGGAGCCCCCAACAGTTAGAACAAAGACACCGTTGGCAAGGCCGTTGTAGATACCCGTGATCCAGATGATGGGCTCTGTGGCAAGTAGGTACCAAACTCTCGTCAGGAAATACCACCTCCCGCGCGGGGTTGGACTGGCGTCAAGCTTAGTCTGCGGAACCGGACCGGTAACCTTGCTTCCATCACCGGCCCGGGCCGCATTGAGAGACTCGGGCACAAACGACATGGGAATAGCGCACGCGGCACTAACAAAGACAGTGATCAAAAAGTACCATTTGAGATCAGCCCCAGCGTCCATGAGAGCCGTGGCAACGACACCGCCGAGGGTGGGCCCGACGCTGGCACCAATGACAAAGAGTGCAATGGGCTGGCCAATGTCGTCTCTGTCTAGGTACAGGTCGCTGAAGACGGCGGGGACGAGAGAGAGGGAGGTTGACCAGGCGGCGCCGCTCAGGAACATGAAGAGAATGAGGGTGGGTAGGTTGGGTGCGTATGCTGTACCCTGTACTCTACTGATTAGTCCCGAATATGGACGGTCCCCCTCCGTCTATGACACGGTTCAACAGCGGGCGTGTATGGGTATGTACTGACTAGGTTGAGGACGGAGTAAGCCAGCATGGAGAATATCGTAACGGTCTTGCGACCAAAGACATCCCTACCGTCCCGTCAGGTTAGCAAGGTGGAAGATTCGATCAAGGGGACCTGTTTTTCGAGTCGTACGAGAGGGGGCTCAGCAGCGATACACCAAGCATATTTCCCATGATCTGCATGGACTGGCCCAGTGTGACGATCTGGACGTTACCCACGCCATACGTCTCCTGCACGACTGGCTGCGCGAAGGAGTAGAGCGTCGACAGCGTCAGAGCGATCGTCTCCCAGGCGCAGTAGGCGCACACGAGATACCACCCGCCCTTGGATGACCAGTTGTCCGAATAACGAGCAGTGCTCAGGGTCGTCCTGGCAGTTTTTTCCATCTTGGTGCTGAGAGATTGTGTAAGAGAAAGCCAGGGTCAGAATAGAGATCAGAAATGGGAGAAAACTTTGTTCATGGTTGGATTTTCATCTATCTAGTCTTACTGAAAACTCGAATGCAAATCGAGGTATTTTCTACCGAGTATCGGAGTATCAATTCGCCAGTCGAGTCTTCGGGGTTCCATGTCGTCAGCCCCACACCACAAGGACAACTTGACAAGAGTAAAACCACCCGAAATCAACTGCCCGACGTACCTGAAATCCAGAATCATCAGCACTCCCGTTGTCACTACCCAGATTACCACATCTGTTTTGCCGCCTCTCGTGTAGCCCACTCGACGGCGGACCATAACGCCTGCACATCTCTCGGTTTCCTCGGCACATCGTGGCCACCATCGTGCACCAGCGATCGCGTCAGCGTTGCCTCACAGAGCCCCTCCATCAGCTTCGACATGCTGACCAGTAGCGGGTCATCAAAGGCGCCGACGACATGGACGGTTGGTACAGGGACCCTGCAGGCTGGCGAGGCGATGACGGGATGCATGATGCGCGGGAGATGGTCGATATCATTGTTCGTGGCTACCGACTCGGAATGTAGCAGCGCTTCGAGGCCAAGAGGCGTGTCCGGTGCGATGAAGCCGCCGACGATGGATGTCTCTAGGACCTTCCCGAGGGAGCTGAAGAAAATAGCGCGCTCAGGGGCCCCGGTGAGAGCGGCGTAGTCATTGTGGGTGGCGCCGCGGGGAAAGCCTGCGAGGACGTTTTCGCGGTCGCTAGGGGCTAGGCCATTGATGAGGTGAGAGCAGAAATTCGGGTCCGGGGAGAAGGCGACGATGGTAGAGAGGAAGACTGCGAAGGAGAAGGCGGGCGGGGTTCCTGGGTTGGCCGCCATGGTTTCGGCCATCTGAATCAGGTAGGCGAGGGCCAAGGAGCCGCCCTGACTGAAGCCCAAGAGACCATCAAAGGGACCCTCGTCGTCAATGAAGTCTTGGAGGTGGTCAAGGGACGACTGGATGGCATGGGGGCCAAAGGATTGATTGAAGCATCGAAAAGGAGGCTGTGCGAACTTGCCAATACCTAAGATTACATCAGCATTGCATAGGGTCACATGTAGAACAGACGAAGTGACTGACCGTGGGCTCTTTGGCATTCGTATTCGCCATCGAGGAAGACAAACTCGTAGCTCGCGTCGGCCCTGTGGATGAAGGCGTCGAGCTGCGATCGAAGGATGGCTCCGGACGTGCCGTAGCCATGAAGACAGAGGATTCTCATCGTCTCGACTGCTACATTGCGATTGCAAGCGGACCATTTTGGGCTGCTGATACTGCGAGAGGCGGTGGCGGTATTATCTTGGGTCGCGAGGTGGTTCTGAATGGAGCGGAAAACTGACGAATCGGTTATTTTGTTTCTCGGTCTTTTTGTTCGAAGGAATTGGTCGCTGCAATCTGCAAGAGAGATCATCCTCAAATGAGCAATTAGTTCGTAAGCAACCGCACCTCATCCATCCTGGGTTTCTGCCTGCTTGGCTTCCACGCGAGAAAATATGGTCGATGAATGAGAGATACGGAGGAGGGCTGAAAGGGAGGGGGGTGGGGCGTGTCTATCCAAATCATATGGGCCCCCTCACGGCTGCTAGGGAGCGCTAAGGCAAGGTCCCTTTCTGGTCGTACTTTCCTTGTCGGAACCCGGCATGACTGCGGGCGGCGGCCACCCGTTCGCTGATGATGGTCTCCACCCGGCACCGGGTGTGGTAGGTATGGACCAAACCTAAACGGAAGTTCCCAAGTAATACACAGGCACAATGTCGCGTCGCACATTCGACTCTGGAAGGAGTTTAAAACATCTGGAAATATCGCGATTCGTATGGCACATTATCTCGAGTAGGTAGGCGGCCATCGGTGACAAAATAGTAGGCCTGCCAATGCTCAATGCGTTCAATTGAATCCTACCCTAGTGAATTTCTTACCGTTCTTGTTACCTTCATTTTCTACATAATCCTTACCTAGGCTGTTCAAGGTATATTACCCCTGGAATATAAAGAAATTAAAGACGAGAAGAGATATCATCAATGGTAATAATAATGATTATGATACAGATGAGCATATGAGTTGAGTGGAAGATAATATTGTCGCCGATATACTAGGCACGTACCTACAGCCACGGGAACGGAACGGACCGACAGAAGCCGTCAACCAACGGAATGGACCACGCTCAATTCCATTCGCTGGACATAACCATTCTCACATGTCAGAGCAAACTAACGGCTGAATCTGCCACCTCCCGAGTGCCTTATGTGAGGCTTTGTCAGATTATAGCTTTCACCGTTCCATCATCAATGATTACGATCACAGCTTTGCCTCCCGTAATCCAGCCACCCATGCGCTAGCCACGTGTGGCGGGTAACTTTGACCTTGCGTCCATTTACGGGTAGTTCGGACGGACGATCGTGTGGATAACTTCTTCAGGCCCACCACAACTCAAATTCGACGTAGGCAAGCAGTACGTTTTTCACAAAATTCACTAGGCCGATATGGATGCTTGAGCTTGAGTTGCAGCAGAGGTCAACCAAAAAATTCGGAGTTGCGTACAGCGTACAAGAAATGTGTCTATTTTTTTCACGGGATCTATGACAGTGAATGTATTACACCGCAATCCTGAATCCTGTTCCGATCCATCACGCCAATTCTGTCTTCAAATTTCTATCGGAACCACGAAGGAAAAAGGTTCTTCAAGGAGATCATATCTTCACACAAAGATTCCCAGTCTCCCGCTGTTAGCTTCCCATGTGTGTAAGTCTTGGTCCTTGAGGGGGGCATTTCTGCTGCCAGGGGCCCGTCTCTGGACTTGAAAAGTCCAGACACCAAATCAGAAATCAAGATCGCGCGTCGGCCTTGTCGGTCGTCGGCTTCTCATCCCAGCTCTTGGGGGGCGTCTTGGGGAGCTTCATGTAGGCTCCCAGCAGGGGTAAGAACACGGCGACGGCGGCGCCAGCGATGCTCATGGCCCACGCATTGTGCAGACCGCGCATGTACGCCCTCAGCACGCCAGTCAGTGCATCACCAGACAAGACGTTCTTCAAGTCGTACGCGCCAATGCTGAGGACCTCGGCCGGAGAAACCATCGGTGCCAGCTCGGGCAAGCTGCTGATGAGGCCGTTGTTGAAGATGGCTTGCGCCATGCCGATGCCAAAGGTGCCTCCGATGAACTGGAAGAAGAGCACGTCCGACATGGCCATGCTGTTGTCTTGCTTCGGGGTGATGGCGTTGGCGATGATGACGGGCGGCTGCATTGCCAGACCCGTACCGACGCCGGCCACGAACTGGAAGCCGATCCATTGCGCGCTGGTGGAGTCGATGTCTAGCATGTAAATGAGGCCGGCTCCAATGGCGGCGAGCGATGCGCCGGTCATTAGCCACGGCTGGTACCATCCGACTAGCACAATACCTGGGGCGGAGAAGAGACTGAACAGCGCTGTTAAAGACGATGCGGTCAGCTTCTTGTCATCAACGATGGTGATCACTTGAACTTACTCATCGGAAGAATAGTTGGCAGTAATCGGATACCACTCTGCAAGGGGGAGACTCCGTTGACGGCCTGGAAGTAGATTGGAAGATTGTAGGCCAAGGGGAAGAAGGAGAAGTTGATCCTGAGAATAGGTTAACCAAATTCTACCCGAGAGAGAGGAGCCTTACATGGAAACGAAGACCGCGCAGGCCGCGATAGTCCTCCGCTTCATGAGACGGCCAACAAGCAGGGCACGGTCACCCTGGTACCATTCGAGAACAATGAAGACTATGACGAGGACACCGAAGGCGACCAGCAGACCGATAACGGTACCCGAGTTCCAGGCCTTGGTGACACCACCGTATTCAATGGCGAGGATGAAGCACGTCAGCCCGCCGAGAACGACAGCGACGCCCGGCAGGTCTAAAGTATAGATGAAGTCCTTCCAGCCAATGGGCTCGATTTTGTGGTGAGCAGGTGGCTTGTAGAAGAAAGCCAGGAAGAGAATAGAGGGCGCGCCGACGATGAGGTTGATGTAAAAGCTGAGGAAACGTCAGGTCAGTCCCGGTGCGCCGTAACTTCACGGTAATATGGAGCTGTAATGCTGAAGACACTCACCACCAACGCCAAGTGAGACGGTCCGTGAATGCACCACCAAGAAGGGGGCCGACGACACTAGCAACACTGAAGATACCGCTAAGAAGGCCCAAAAAGGCAGGGACAAGCTTCTGGACGACAGAGACGGAGACAATGAGGTAGACTCCGCTGGTCATGCCAGCACCTCCAAAGCCTTGGATGGCGCGACCGACGATGAGGGTAGTGCTATTCTGAGCCACACCTGTAATATAAAGGCCAAATCAGCCACTGAACAAGGAACCGACCATTGGAAATTTGGTATGCTAGTCCACTCACCACAGATCAAGCTCCCAAGCTCGAAGACGACCACGGCGGACAAGAAGACCCATTTGATGCTGGCATGCTTGAAGGCCTTGCCCCAGAGAGAGACGAAGCCGGCGAGGGTGAGGAGGAAACCGGAGCCATACCATCCGACCTGATCAAGACTTTGGAATTCGCGAGTGATTTTGGGAATGGCAGTGGCGATAATACTCTGTTGGCATACGGTGTTAGTAAGGTAAGATAGTTGCAAAGGTGACATAAGAGAGCAATGGGGGGGGGGGGGGGGAGCAAGCAGAAGACTCACCATGTCTAAGGCGACAAGAAATTGGCATAGCAAGAGGGAAGTCATCAGAATGAAAAGCTTCAAGCCGGTGGCGTAGTCGCCCTCTTCTGCTTTGTCGTCATCGCCGTCGGCGCTCCCAGTTCCTTTCTCGCTATCGACTGGTGCTGTGGGCCCAGAGGCTGCATCGTGACTGTGGCCGAGGGTTGCTTCGGTCTTGTTCTCGTAAGAGCGCGTCAGCTCGACGCTAGGTTGTGAGCGTGGCTGGTCCTCTGGAGTCGCGGTGGCCATTGTGACGGTGTTTTGTTGCTGTTCCTCCGGCAATTGGTGTGATCTTGTCTGCTGTGATGGTGGTAATGATGGCTTTTTACTCAAGGGCGACTAACAGAGATAGCTGCAGTATTGTTGGCTTCGCCTCCTCGCAGAGCATCGAATGATTTGTGCAACGAATGCTTTTTGAGTACGAAACCACTAGAAAGGGAGATGAGAGGTGATTTTCTTGGTTTTTTGAAGGAGAAAAAAAAGACACTTCGACGTGCCCGTGACTTGCACCATCTGGCCATGGTGAAATTGCTGAATATCCCAAACGGTACGTACCTCGCGATAGGGTGAAGAGTGAATCGGATTGTTTGCTTGCCGACTTGCCCAGATTTGTAATGTGGACCAGAGCGGTGCAAAATTACGCCGGCTCTCAAATGGGTGGTACAGCGTGCCCTGCAGTCGAGTGATGAGGGTGCGGCGCAAATGCATTCTTGTCATTGGATCATTTGGAAACACCATACTTCATCACACTTCACACCCCCCCAGTCGGGAATAATTGTCCCACCCTTACCTAAGTCATTCCAGACTCGTTTGAGACTTTTGTGAATTTGGGGTTGTACCCATTCCTCCGCCATCTGTAAGCCGTCAATGGCAATCGTCAAGCTGTCAAATGAAGAGTGCCGGTATGGCCAACGACCAATCTGGGACGGGGCTTGCTATCATTGCCTATTGCCCAATCCCAGTATCTCAATCGGACGCCATTCTAGCTGATATCCTGCACACCTTACCTTGGACAGGTTCTCAAGTACTTGATATCATGCGTACAATCTTTTTTCTTTGTTTCTGTGTTTTTCTTTCGTGCCTCTTCTCGATCCGCACCTCCCCTGATTTATGGTCCACTTTAGGAAGGTTTCAATGAGGTTCTATCTTACCAAAAGTGGCATCATTCTGGAGTAAAGGACGGGGTGGAAAAGAGGAAGGCACAGCAAAGTGGGCTCGGGTCAATACCTTCCAACCATACATGAGGATCTCGTTGCCACCACATACTAATACCGGTAGGCACTCATCCTCTGTCACACCCATCAGGAGGTGCATCTTGGATGGAAAGGTCAATGTCCAAACTCCGTCTCCGCGGTGTAAAGCAGAAAGGACAAGCCTCTCGTTTACCCGTTTGGGTCTGGATGCCGTCGGGGACTCCAAAGCAGGTAGGCACTTTGTTGTAGATACCTACCTTACCACGTGCTTGCATCTTCAATCATGGCCGTGAGGGCTGGTGGAGGTACCTTTCTCTACGTACCCCAGGAAACCCCCCGGGGACGGGAAGCAAGTGGGGTTAATGCGGTACCTAGGCACGTGCTTAGGTAAGGTGTGCAGCTGGCTAGGTACCGCTGTACCGCGCAATGGTACGGAGTACCTAGGTAGTGATGAGTGTGGACGTTAGTGGAAGTCCATTCGCGAAGCGGCCAATCAGAGACCCACTTAGCCTGAGGGAGGAACGGTGCGCTACCTTAGCTCAACGGCGGGCTACTGCCTGCATCCATCCCGAGGCCACCCTGGTTGCGCCTACCTTGTCCGTTTTCTTGCGTGCTTGCCAGGATGGGGTCCTTTGGAGACTTTTGTCACCTTTGTGATGGAAGGTCTGAATCACAATGGTTCCATCGAGGCTGCGCTGCCATGTACGTTCTCGATACGCTCACTTGATAACACCCTCTGTCCGAACTTGGCCACTTCGCAAGCATTTATCTGGGTGTTTTCTTGATATTACCTACCGGTTCTTTGGGTATGCCAATTGGCCGAGTCACCGTCTTCCATTCGTCTTCCTCTTCTATGAGTGTTACTCAATTCGACTCCCTCATGGTCATATGACATACCGTCCCGATGGCACACAGCAGCATCTTCGACTACAGTTCCGAGGTGACCAAAGCACCAATCTATCATCTTTTATCTGGGAGAGGTTTTACAGACTTTCTTGCTGACTTCTTGCTCCAAACCATCAGGGGTCCCCTGGGCCGCAATCTCACGCGTCAATATCATCGTCGTACGAGTCTAGCGACTGGCATGAGTACGAACAAAACCAAGCACAAGCAATCCCCTCTGCGTCGGCATCAGCGTCGACTTCCAAGTGTAGTTGTGCCCGAAAAGCATCCAGACTGCTCAAGAAAATCCCAAAGGAGGGTATCGTCTCGTTCGACGCCGTCATGCAGCTTCATCACTCCGTTGTCGAACAATGGCGCCAGGCCACACGCTGTCGCCATTGCAACAATGACAATACCAACAATGCCAACGTCACTTGTGCCTTGACTACAGCCTCCGAGAAGCTCCTTTCTCTCTTCGAGGCCACTACATACGCCTACACAGACATCGACTACTTCTCACAGACATCGCCGGATCGTAAGTTCAACATCTATCGTCTCGGCATTGCTATTATAGTCTATCTATACTCTTGTCTCCGTCGCCCCAAATCCTCGGCCTCGGCCTGTATAGCAAACTGACGAACGGCACGGCAGGCCTCGGCAGCGCTCATCTGTTTTCACTCAAGCTACCCACTACTACTGTCACCTGTACCCGGACGCAGATGACCCTCGGAGGCTTTCTTCTACAGGACGATGAGGCAAATATTCTCGCCTCTCAAATTATTTACAAGAGTCTAGTGACCCACCACAGTCTGCTCCAAGACTTCCAATCTACCCAGGCTCTCAGCGACAGCGACCAGTCCTTCATCAACGATGGGGGAGGCCTTCAGCGTATCATTGACAGGCTTTTGAGACTTTTGGGTCGCTTGCAATGGGAACAGGACACCATAGAACGCTGAGGTTGAGGAACGGCTGCAGCTGCCGTCAGGTGCCTTTTGGACTTATTCACCTTAGATTGGATACGTCTATGTCTCGGAAACCCATGTGCCTGACTTTTGTCAAAGTCATTAGATAGGCCGTCTCCAGCTCCAGCAAGAAATGCCATGAGCGAGTGTACATTACACAGCACTTCCCAGTCAGCTACATGACTGAGCAGAGTGATTGCTCTGTCCTATCTGTAATTAGATCTCGGTAGATATATACGCCTCTTTCCTTGATCCATTTTCTAATCAGTCGTCTAGTACTCCTTCAACACTCTCAGGTTTGTAATCTAGGCCGGAATCTCAAGTTTAGAGGCTGTTTCTCCCAAACGCTCCACACGTGCTTATCAGTGTACCATTGCTCCTGGCCCTCGACCAACTCAAAGTCCAACCGGTATAGGATTCTGCAGATCATCAGCCGCATCTCTGAGTACGCCAGATTCTTGCCGGCACAGTCTCGAGGTCCGTAACTAAAGGGCTTGAAAGCAGCCTTGTTGTCGTGTTCAAACCTCGGATCGTACAGAGGATGCGTCTTGGGGAGCCAGCGCTGCGGACACCAGCTCTCTGCGTTAATGAAGTTACCTTTGTTTCGCATGGTCGCCACTTGGTTCACGTGGAGCAGCGTCTAGCGAAGATTCATGTCAGTCCCATGATTGGTGTAGAGGCAATGGTATAAAGCGATTAGGAGGAACTCACACCGCGAGGGACCCATTTGTCTTCAAACATGGCTCCAGGAGACTGACGAGGTGGTGTCTCGACGACAGTAGGGAAACAACGCAGTGTCTCATCTATACTTGCCCTAAGGTATGGTAGATGCTGCGTGTTGACTAGGTTGATGTCCGATTCGGACTTGTACGCAGACCGAATCTCTTCAATCAACGGTTCCAGTGCCGCTGGTGACATGCCGGCAAAGAAGAAAAAGCCGCTTACAGCCGACGCTGTCGTCTCGCTGCCGGCACCGATCAGCAACCCGCTGTTCATCATGATTTCCTGCTCCGAGAAGCCCGGCTTTCCATCGCGCGTCTCCCGCATCATGTACGTCATGAAATCGCGCCGGCCGTCTTTGGGCTCGGCGCCCATAGCCATTCGCGCTTTCACCTTCGAGTCGCCCAGCTTCATGTTCTCCATCATGGTCGAGATGGCGGTCCAGATCTCACGCCAGCCCACGAATATCAGGAAGAACGGTGTGAGGTGCGGCTTCGCCAGGATCATTCGGCTATACGCAAAGCCACGGATGGCCCTGAAGAAGCCCGAAACATACGGGTGAAAGCTGCTGTCATCGAGGTTGTGGAACGACTCGGCGAAGGTCAGATCTCCAATGACATCAAACGTGGTGTAGTTGAGCCAGGTCACAATGTCCACGGCACCCGACGCTCGCTCTAGGTGATCGACTAGCTTCTCGACGTAACGACCGATGATGCCCTCCTGCTCCTTGAGCGCAGCGTCACTGAAAGCGTGGTTCAGCTGGCGTCGCATACGGCGATGCTCGTCCCGCGGCGCGGCAACAATTGTCTTGTAGTCGCCTGGAAACAGCTGGTTCGGCACTTTGGCGAACTCATCCATGCCGTGTACCGTGGCGTTGAGTGAGAAGACCTGCGTCCAGGCGATGCTGCCGTCCACCATCAGGCGGTCCGGCCCGAGGCGCACAATGTTGCCGAACTTCCGTTGAAGACCCGGAGCCTCACGAGTATAGGTGCCCCTGACGTTGGTCCGCCACAGCCAGAAGAGATCCGACGCTCCCCACCACTTGGGGCCTGGATATCTGGAAAGAGGATGGAACCATAGCCGGTAGATGGTCACAACAACCCGGTGTATGACGATCTACGTGAGCGAGGGTGTCAGCAAGGCCACACCACCATAGATGCAATTGTGCCACACCAACGATAAGACAAAAGAACTTTGGTACTCATCCACCCACCAGAAATGTCAGCACCCCCAACACAAGTTGAATTTGGCCTGTCGGCGTGTATTGAAGTGGCGCGAAAAGGCTCGCCCATGTCTTGGAAAGGATCATTGTTTACCGTCGATAAGGGATCACAATTACGGAGGCTGTAAGCATAAGCACACCAACGGCAGAAACGGCACTGGCCGGCTTGTTGCCGCCCCTTGAACATTGGTCTCGGGTTTTTATACGGACTGTTCCCCTTTTGAACCCTTCTTTCGAACAAGGTACGGCACCGGCGCCACTCCCGCGGCGTGCATGATCCTTCCAATCATGTCATCAGATTCCCGTCCCCTTTTGGAGTATTTCAAAGGTGAGACACTGCATTTGTACAATTCATCCGAAGCCGACGGCTAAACTCATGTGATTTGCGTCTTACCGGTATCAAATCTCGCATGTACCTATCTGGCGAGCGTACATGCATGTCGTATCCCAAGCCAATGATAAAAGACCCGACACATGCTGACCACAATGTGACATCGGCTGCTTTGGTTCGATTTGTAACTCGGCCTAATCCATCAAGACGCCAAGACATTGGAAACAATGTCTCGAATTTCATTTTCTTGTTGTAAGCTTTTAAGCGGGCTCTGTTAGCCTTTTGGACGGATAGACGTAATGCAGGCCAGAAAGGTGTTTTACTCTCGAATCACGTTGTACCGAAGTCCGATTGCCCATGATGGAGATCGCATTGGACCTGCTTGCGCAAGCCCGCGGCAACAATTACGTGACCGTTACCGTCGCTGTATTGTCTCTGGTTATCTTCTTCTACTTCAACTACAGCACTCAGCCGTTCCGAGGTATTCCCTATGTCGGGGGTCCAAAGTGGGACATTCTCAATATCAAGGCACAATATCGTTTCGTGACGGACTGTAAGAATCTCATCAAAGAGGGTCTTCAGAAGGTTAGAGATGGTTCATTTGACACCTAAGTCCTCGGAAGGGGAACCTTTATGGCTAACAGCGTCGCGTTCATGTAGTACAATGGACCTTTCCAGGTCATTGGCTACGTGCCCATCACCGTCTTGCCCCCGAGATATGTCCCTCTTATCAAGGACCACCCGAACCTGGACTTCGGAAAGTCTGCCGAAAGAGTATGTCTTGAGTTTCTTACGCTGCTTTAATTATCTTTGGATTTACATGCATGACATGTAAAATGTTCTTTCGGGATCTAACCAATGAACGTAGAGGCTATTTGGGCAATACCCAGGCCTAGACTGGGCGCACAAGATCAATGAGGACCGTATCTTCCAGGAATCTCTGAGAATTAACATGACACAATATCTTAGTGAGTCTCCTCCATGATGATGCCATCTTTCCTCTCTTACTAGTCATTAATTTGTTGCGCTTGATCCAAATCTTAGGCGAGGCCACACCCCTTTTAGCAGAAGAAGCACGCGAAATCCTCAGCGAGTTTTTCCCACAGACAACCGGTAAGCTCGATTCGTGTCCCGCTATTCCTTGGCTGTGGCTAACCCCATCATCAGAATGGACCTCGTACACCTTTGGCAAAGACGCCGCAGAAATGGGCGTGCGCCTCTCAACTCTCGTCTTCCTCGGTAAGAGATTCACAAAAAACAAGGAGTGGCTCTACATCTGCACGCAATACCCACAAGGCATCTTCGGCGCCATCGGCGGGCTACTCTCCACGCCCAAATTCCTCCGACCCGTTCTCTACCGCTTCCTGCCCCAGATCATCGCCCTCAAAAAGTACGGCGAGGTCGCCAGGACGCTCATCGTCCCCGAGATCGAGGAGCGGCGGCGGCTGCGCGATGCCGGTGCTGATGTCAAGTTCAATGATGCGCTGGAGTGGTACTACAAAAACTCGTCTAAGCGCGGCAAGGAGGAGGACTTTGATGCCGTGAGCGCCATGATCTCGCTTGCGTTCGCGTCCACGCATACAACGGTCGATTTGCTGTGCAATGTTCTGTATGACCTGGCGGCTCACCCTGAGTGTATCGGTCCGATGAGGGAGGAGATTGACAAGGTCCTCGCCGAGGATGGGGGCTGGAAGAAGACGACGTTGTATAAGATGAGGCTGATGGATAGTTTCTTGAAGGAGACGCAACGCATGAACCCTGTTCAGCTGAGTACGAACTCCCCCAAAAAGCAGCTCGATAGATTCGCCAGACAAAACTCGCGATTAACTGACACATGAACCCACGTAGCCGCGATGAACCGCTACGTCAAACAAACAACCATCCTCTCGGACGGCACCCGCCTACCCAAGGGCTCGCTCCTCGCCGTCTCGCTCGAGGGGCTCCGCGACGCCTCGCAATTCGCGGACCCGGATGTCTTTGATGGCTTCCGCTTCGCGCGCAAGAGACAGGAGCCAGGCCAGGAAAACCAGTGGCAGTTCACGTCAACGCGCAACGAATTTCCATCGTTCGGGCACGGGCAGTGGTCCTGTCCCGGTAGGTTCCTGGTTGCCAACGAGCTGAAGATTTTTTTGGCGGAGCTGCTGTTGCGGTATGATATCGGATACCCGGCGGGCGTGACGCGGCCGCCGTGTACGTGGTTTGCTACGGAGAGTCAGGTGAATATGGATACGCCGCTGATGTTTAAGTTGAGGGAGAAGGCGTGATGACTTTCTGGATGCAATGAAGATTCTGATGAGCTTCCACGAGCCCCCTTTGTACACGGCTGCGTATCAATGGATGCAGGGTTTGGGTTTTCTTTGGTCATATATGCGGAGTCATATGTTGCTGAACCAAAGTTTATGTAGGATGAAGCACCGAAACAACAACGAATAAAGTGAACACACATAATTCTGTACTTTCTAAAATATCATGATGGCTTCAGCTAGCCGGGACCTTACCGCAAGCCACGTAACCTTGGTTCCGTAATTAACAAGGTCTTTACTCCCTCACGCCTCCTATCTCGGGGCGAACTTCGTACTCATTTCTCACTTTTAATAAATGACCTTTCCCTATATTCTGCGCCGATCTCCCTATTACATATCATGCTAGGAGTCAGCGACCCAGCGTGGGGCGATGATTGCGATCCCTGTTCCAGATTGGCCGTTTCTTGGGCTATTCCAAGTGATGCGTCAAATATATGCAAAGTAGGTGTCCGTGAGCTCATTATATTCAACTTTTTCTATACTAACACTTAACCATGACTCTACTAGACTTGTTCAAGCAGCGCAAAATTGCTGACTTCGATTCCTGTGATATGACTATCGCGGTTGAGCTGATGGGTCAACGACATACGCACGAGAGGGCCAGTGCCTCTTGAAACCAGACCGAGTCGCCCGTTGAGATTCTCCGTCCTGAAATCTCCAAGCCCTCTGAATTGGACGTGATAATTCGCATGGACCTGCTTTCCTGATTGTTCGATAGTGATGTCTTGGGGAATTAGCTAAATATATATAACATATTATATATATTATATTATCCGAATTTCCTATGCCGGTCTTAAGTGGAGTCTCTTAGTCGAGGTAGAGCGTCTACTCGCTATTGGCTACAAAACTTAATATTCTCTATCCACAATAAGTATAACACAGTCCCCGTCAATCTGCCTCATCTTCCCCGAGCATAACCACTCTGAACTTTGCGGCTGGTTTCCGGACTCGTCTAAAACATCGAAAAATATTAAGTGTCCCCGTAAACCGTAATCGATCGTCCCATATCTAGGGAGACCGCTATAATAGACGTATTTAGCTTGCATAGGCTAACAATTAAGTAAGATAGTGTAGTGGACTAGAGCTCCCTATGATTGTAACAGTTACTAACAGTGGTTACTCTTTGGGCTATTGCATCTTCTCCTAATAGAATATACAGAACATCGAGTTACCGCGGGTTACTGAGGCCAGAACATAACCGAGTAATTTACCGTCGTCCTAGATTCTGGTAGAGCCTCGAGTATCGGCAGGGTTCTTTGCCATCCCACATGGTCGATGCAAATATAGTTTCATGGATAATCAGTAATAGCTAAGGAATATTATATGTCATCTAGCTCGGAAGGCCGAAATGCGTGCGAAACGGACGATCTCATCCTAGATTATGCATACACGCCGTGATGGCGACTTGATTGAATATCCCGCTTGATTTCTCTGCTCCCTTCATACCTTCCTCGCCGCCCTCTCACTCCTCATCCCTTATCGTCTCCTTCAAACCTTCAGCAAGCATGTTGAAAATTAGCGCCTCATGCCTCTCCCGTTGCAGGTTGTTACTTCCAGTGCAAGTCGTCCATTCGTTTGTAGTAAGTGATGTCATCCTCTCCCTCTTCCTTTGGCACGTCCGTCTTCTTGCTACAGAGCGGCCGGCACACGCCGATGGCGTTGGTTAGCGCCTTGTCACACTCGTTGTCAACTCTGTAGTTATGGCAGACATCGCAATTATTGTTCGTCTGACGTTCGCAGTCCTGATTGTTACTGCAGCCGTAGTCGTAGCATGAATCTCTCGCCGTCAAGCTGTTGTGGTCGTAGGTCACCAACCATTCGCCGGCTGGCTCATGTTCAGGCAGCCTGAGTGCCGGGTTACGTCTGTTGATACCCTTCGCGAATAGCACTCGGGCGTAAGGGGGGTCGAAGACGAACAGCGTCTCGCCTGTGGCAGTGTCTTTGACCTCTGCCGTGGCAGAAAGCTCATCAATGTTGATGACGTGGTTAGCACCACCTGGAACTGTAGCCCACTCGATTTGTTTTTTGATATGCTTCGCAGTATCAGAGTCGAAACGGGTATCAATAAAATACAGGCTGTTTTTGCTGACTGCTGCGACGTAGGGGGTATCAGGCGCTACAATCTGGGGACCGTGCCAGGCATCGACGAATCTTGGCTTGAAGGCACTTTTGTAATATTGCTCTTGGAAGGTTGGCGAGCCTTCACAAGGTCTGAATGGATTTATAAGCATGGCGATGAACAACCCAATGATCATTCTGGTGGAGACTTGGTGAGGTGAATGTGTTTGAGCTTTTTCCGATGAGAGGTCCTCTTTACTTTTCTTTCCTCTGAGAGAAACGGTCTCCTTTTTATGTTCCAGATACTCAGGAAACGAAATACAGTTCAGGTCTTTGCTGTCATTGTTGACATTTCAGAGCGAAGCTGAGAGAAATGCCATGATGTTGGTTCTATCACAGATGCAGGACGCTAGAGCCCAAAATAGAGCACCGGTCAGAACTGGTCTCCTCAAATTCGCCCGGCTACATAGGATTTGTGTTGGGACTGGATTGTCGAGACAAATCAGAAGGTGACTAACCACGAGTGACCAGGGGCCTTTTATCGACTAACAGTCAATACAAGCTTCGGCCACATTCCTACACCCTGGCATAAGCGACGAAAAGGGAAGCTCGATTCAAGTCGAAACCAACAACTAACACCCAACACGAGCTTTCGGATCGAACGGCACAATCATAGTTTCACGAATACTTCCTTTAGCGTTAGGCCACATCCTCCAGTATATGCCCGGATAGCGGGGTTTGGCCAACAGCCGACGCGCTCCGGACCTTGATCCGTAGCGCCCGACTTCGCCAGCGCAAAACTCAGACCAGCTGTCTCCCAATCTCCCACATTGCTCTCCAACCTCAACTACTCTTGGCTGGCATCTCGTGTAGTTCGCGGTTCATTACTAATGTACACGTATGTCTAGGCATTCCTAGTGCCTCCCTCCTTGAGACCTCTTCGCCTTCTTTGCCGGTGCTAAGCCTGTCACTAAAGTATCTGAGGTAGTCTGGCGTTCGTTTGGAGTACCAAACTGGTGATTCTCTTCGGCAGAGGCTGGGATGGAGTCAACATCTGACTGCGAAAGGTGATAATTGCCAAATTCTTGGGAAAGGCCAGTTTCCGGAAGCTCTGGGACATCGAAATCCAAGTTTGGACAGCATCTGGTCGATGATTGAGCAGAAGATTGGTTCTTAGACTTCATGAGACTAAAGAATTTGTGCGGACGAGACCGAAAAAGCTCGCGCCGATAATGAAGGAGCTGTTTGCGTTTGCGGTTGAAGAAGTATTGCGATACAACTCACTACTCTGCTCGTGAACGTAAATGACCTTGGAAGTCAAGATACGAAAGAACTGTCGGCTGAAATCCAGCTGAGTGGCCGCATGCAGTCAGGTGAGCGGCCTAGACTCGGCTCTGGCCTTTCTCGCAACAGCCCCGGCCCCGACTTTCACGCGGGCCGTAACGGTGGTAACCTTAGATATGTAACAATATCCGCTTGCAGCTTCTGACTACCGAGATACGGTCGATCAGTCCTACAACTGGAGAGTAAGGGCTGGCTGAAGTGTAACAATGGCTCTGGTATCGTACGAGCCACGACTGTTGCAGCAGCTGAACCGCCAGCGATGCTGGCACTCTTCCTAGTCTTGAAGATGGTCAGCCCTTCATGGACAAGTCGGGTTCGTTGCCCGAGGCCGTTGTGCTCACCGGCATAAGACATTGTTCCAGCCGCATGCTATCTATCACTTGAGTTTTATCTGTGCTGATACATCATCCATGTTTTACAGCTAGACTATGTTCCCGAAAGGACCCATCACCACCTGCTCAGAGTTGATACGTTGCGTGTTTTTCCCCAATCCTACTGTATCGTTGAGTTTACCGGGATGAAAGACAGCGAAGGCCACCATGACAGAGAACATCAAGAACGAGTCAAAAATGTACATCATGGCTTCGTGCTGATTGACGAACCCGTACCAACCCTCAGCGAATTCCGTTGCCCTCACCAGATTTCGCACCCAGATAGCAACCACCGAGATGATCAGGGTCCAAACATAACGTCCCCAATGCTGTAAATAAATCGTTTCCCTCTGCGTAGCCCGCTGAAATCGCATGACGAGAGCAAAGTAGACGACCATAACGAAGAGCTGGAAAAGTAGACCGCCCAAGACAACATGGCCTCCAATTTCCATGATCTTTGGGTTTGCAATAACTTGTACAAGTGAACCGCCGATTTGTGTGCAGAAGGCGATAATATCCGTGAGAATGAAGATACTGGTAGGGCTGCACTTCCGCCTTTGATGGCCTAGCAAGGCCTCTTTGAGTCTTCCGAGATTGACGTATATGGTTGCGGAGATGAAGACAGGCGCAACGAGAATGAGCATGAGCTGCAACATGAATGGCTTAGGGGATAAAGGCGCTGAGCCTGCCCAGGCGCGTCCCAAGTGTCCAAATGTGTCACCTATTGAATTTATGTGGAGTTAGATTCCTGAGAAGTCTCGTCGATGCTACAAAATTGAAAGGAGTAGTAAGAAAAAGAAGGCAAATGTTCCAACACTTACATATTCCTCCGAGTACCATCGGTATGAAGTATTTTGTCTTATATCTACGGATCAACCAAACATGAAAGACTGTGATACCTGCAAAAAGAAACAAGAAAATGACACCTGCAGCTTTTGAAGGCGTGTACGGGTAGAAGAGGACTTTCCCATCTTCGAAATGAACGAGACCCATTCTGGCTGAGCCTTGAGGTTGGGGGCCAAGGAGGTCTTTGATAGATGGTGGAAATGTTTCGACACAAATGGAGACTTTTTTGGAATTGAAGTTACGGAAACAAATCGACACAGTAAAGAATGTGAAAAGAAATTGCAGTCAAAGTAGTTTCGGTAATGTTGCTCATTATGGTAGACGAGTCGCAATATTTAAGCAGCAAGCCACAACCGTAGGTTCGTACTCAAACACAGGCGCGCCTCAATGGGAGCCAATCGCTGAATTTTCGTATCCTCGTGTACTAATACGGCCCCACCCGGCTTCGTCGCGCTCATGATCCCACTCGTAGTTTCACTTCGACGGAGCCTTATGATTACATGTACAGCAAAGTTTGATCATGGTGGTGACATGTATCGCGTATGTCTCTGGAGATGCTTGAAGCATTGAATTACTAGCGAGTCCTGGAGCTAGCTGTCCAACCTCCCTCTAAACGGACTCCAGCCAAAGTATGCAAGATCAGGAACGCGCCGATGTCAACCGGCTGCAGCCACGTTGGTCTACCTATCAAAACAAGTTCCCGATAGCGTGGAGACGTGAAGCAGGCATCCGGTTATCTTCATCAATACTTGTGCCTTCCTCAATTTTGTATGTACATGAAAAGCCTTGACTTAGGTATGACGTAATCGATATGCAATATTGAGAAATGATTGAGAATCGGTGCGTTACTACTCTAAGTCGCGATGTACTGCCGCAATTCAGATGGGAGAGTAATATCAATTTTTTTCGAGATCGTCCTCATGTACCAAGAGAATACTACGTACCAGGTGTTGAACCCATGCTGATCATCCTCCACACTCAATGTTCATCCAGTCCATAGGCTAAATTCCTATCTCATTGCCAGAACGGACGTAGATTATCTAAATACCTTCCATCTACTATTTCAGGCAGGGAACTTTGGCTCACTTTCTCAGGCTCTGAGTCTTGGTAGTCTTGAACCTTGGTCTTTTCAGGAGACATTTCGTTGTGCCACTTCTGTGATCGATGCCGAGCTCTGGCCCGCCATGGAAGGTCCCAGTAATCCTCATCCTTCTTCATAGTCTGATAGCGCTCTTCCAGAGCCTCATCCTCAGTCAGGAAATGTGGGCTTGCGTCAGACGAGGGCGAGGGGTAAAATCTGGCGTCATCAAGAAATACTCATGCCCTTTGTATGTACGTTGTAGTGAGCGTCATATAATTCGGAATAATACGCGAGTGAAAAGTCCGGTACATGCCTGGGCCACTTTCAGAACCCTCCGGTACTCTACCAATCGAATGATAACCTTCTATGAGATAGCGTGACCTCTCCCGTCTGGAGTCATATATTTGATGGAGATTTTCAAGCCACTCCTTGAGGCGATCCCTTCCAGTTTGTCCGGGTTCAGTAGATCGAAGAAGGATTGTGACGAGGTCGAGTCCAACATAAGTTAACCTTGATGCAATATAATGTCCGCAGCCCATGTCGTAGGCACATGCCTCAGGGTCAACGCATAGGCTATCTGGATAAAGTAGGCCGGGAAGGTGAGAGGATGTAGAACCTTTACTAAGAACAATTTCTGGTAGTCAGGAATTGCTGCACTGGGCAAACATGGCCGCGTATAGTGTTTTGAGATATTCGTAAACACACAAAATTGCCTGTAGGTCCCATGATTGAAATCTTTGACCGCTGTGTCGATGCAGTGACTCTTTGCAGAGTTGTTGGACATTTCTGTCCATCAAAGCATTGAGCTGGTACCGTAGAAAGACTCGGAGCAGTCGCTTTCTTTCTAGACATGTAAGATTAGCGGCATTGAATCTAGAACAGACGGTCTGACCTTTGAATCTCCACCGGGATTCCATTCGAGATGGGAGGCACAGATACTCCCACGGGAGGAAGACTGCAGTGGCTTTCGTGAGATAGTCCTCAATGAAAAACATGAGTCCTTGATGAAGATTACTGATCTTGGTGATCAAGGCCTGGTTTGGGTTTTTAGAGGCTGATAAAACGGGTTGGTGAATTGATGCGTCGCCCAAGAGAGGCAATGCTGGCGGGCTAAAGCTTTGAAGTTAGCGGCAGACCGTGAAGCAAAGAGGATAATTGCCATGGCGTTCCATCATGCCATCATGAAATTCGGAGGCTAGTAGCTTCTTAGTGATATATCCTTTTGACTCAGTAAATTGCCCAAGCATGATAGGTGAGGCTTGGGTCAGCTGCAAAATTGTACGTGGGCGCTGAGTTTCCGGTGGGAGTCGAACCAACAATAAAAAAAAGTCACGGCCACAAACTGTACCCTGATTTCGGATGGCTGGCAGGGTTGCTTAAGCGCAAAAACGGGGTAAGATCCATAGCGATAAACACGTAAAGTCGTGGGAAAGAGGCAGGCCGTTGACTCTGAGTTCGACAATCTCGTCAATCACAAAGTCTCCGGCAAGCCCCAAGACGCCGCATCAGACGCGAGGATTTATCAATTCCACAACTCCGGCGAGGCCGGCTTCTG